GGGGGGGGGGGGAGCTAGGTACATCCCAGGCTCAGAGACGTCTCACAATTTTCTGGACAATTCTTTGGGGGGCAGGGACCACAGAGCTGGACACAGACAACTTTGCCTGAGTGGGCGAGAAGAACAGTGTTTCCATGACCAGACAGCAGACTGCCCTGCCTGACCAGCCCCACACAGCCCCGGGCTGGCTAGGGTGCTGAGTTCTCCTGTCCAGCCTGGGGACCCTGGGACCACCATGAGCCACCACACATGGCAGCTGGCGCACGCTTTTCCCAAGGCAGAGTGGGCAACTACAGGTACCCTCACTGCAGCCCGTTTCATTTCAAGCAGCTCTTGTTCTGCTCAAGCTGACTGGGTTTCCAGGAGTCAAAAGTGGCCCCCTCGGATTGTCCTGGGGAGAGAGGCAGGAGGCAGTGGTGGCAGCGGCGGCCAAGGCTCAGCTGGGAAGAGAAAAGACTGCTGTGCTGGCCCAGTCCACACCTCCGGATCTGTTCAACCTTGACACCCAGCTTCGCCCTACACGCCATCACATTCCTCTAGCACCCCAAAATGCCCACTGGTTGCTGGGCAGGGTGACTTACTCCTGTGTCGTCTGCAAACCAGCCACGAGGACCGGCTCTGACTTCACCCATTTCACAGAGGACGCATCTCAAGTTCAGAGAGGTGCAGGGCCGGGGCATGCTGGGCCTAGCCATCTGGGTGTCTAGAAAACAGCTGGCTCCCGAGTGTGGGGGGTGGGAGAGCAGACATACTGACATTTCCCCCTCAGGCCTAACTTAGCTTCCAATACAGATCTGAGGAGCAAGTTGATTCTCCAGTGGGCAGTACCAGAGGGGACAGCAGTCACCCTGCTCCTCACCTCTCAAGGAGGCCGACTCTTCATTCCCAGGCTCCAGCGGGGCGTTTTTTTCTGGAGGGCCCAGCTCTGAGAGATCGGCAGGTAGAACACACAGACAACCCCGCCCCCCAAGACACACACACCCAGGCACACACATGCATGCACCACACACCCACACACAGACACACACCCGCACAGGGTTTGCACATGTGTGCATGCCTATCTAAGTGACTCACCAGGTGGCACGTCACCCCTTCAAGGCCCACTTTCCTCATGGAGGGAGGAGCCGCAGGGGTGACCACGAGGACTTGGGCGAGCTGCCTGCAGAGCCAGGCCCAGCGGCTCGCAGGGTGGGCCAGCACTGAGAGCTGTCTGTGGGTCTGAAAGAGCCTACCCTCCTGCGAGGCGGCCAGCACGGCCCATAGAACTGCCTCCTTCAGATGGTGAGTGCCCGCCCGACGCCACAAGCAACTTCTCCCCAACCCAAGACACACTGATCGGAGGAGACAGGGGCCAAGTGGCGTTCGTGTCCTCTAGCATTTAAAGTTGCCCTTGTTACAGTGCAGTGTGACATACGGCTAAGGGTCTGCTAGTTGAGAAGGCTTGGAAGAACAAAGAACCCTCTAAGCACAAGCACAGCCCCCACAGATAAGATGGGGCCTAGCGACCTCTAGGAGCTGTCTTGAAGCACAGCCTCCGTTCAGGCACCACTCCTTCCTTCATCTGGAAAGCCCGAGGGAGTGTGGCCAACCTTGCAAACGTGTGAAGGACCAGACCCTCCCCACTGTCTCTCACTGACTGTGCGGTGAGGCAGCCCTGAGGCGGGAAGAGCAGAACTGCCGACTGTTGGGAAACAAGGGGCAGCAGAGGCAGGAGCGAGGCAGGGTCCCCACCCCAGACTGCAGCTGTGTCCAGTCACGCTCACTCACTGGGCCTGGAGGAGACTCCCAGCCACTCCACCCCGGGCAGGCAGGGCAGAGCAGGGCAGGGGATGCTCCCAGGGCACCTGTGGGGGCATGCGGTGGGAGGGGAAGGGGGCGGCGGGGAGTCGTACCTGCAGTGGTGGGCCCGGTCAGGTTTGATGCTGCAGCACTTGGGGCACTTGTATACCACCTGCCCAGGCTTCAGCTGTAAACTCTCTATGAATTCTTTAGTGGCATTTCCTTTGGGCACTGCCCCCTGCAAAACAGAGGGGAGGTGTCAGGGTTAGGGGGGGCCCCACCAGCCCTCGTATGTCCTGGTGGAGGCAGTTATCTGAAAGTGGCAACCGCGCACACACAGGGAAAGGGAACATGGGTCCCAGGGACACGTGGACTTCTCACGGCTACGGCAAAACTGACTCTGAGTTAGTGACCAAGAAGTTGCCTTGAGGGAATGCCACCAGGCCCTGAGAACTTCCTTAATTAATTTCCCACCCAGAACAGTCCAGTTATCTCCAATCATTTTCCATTTCCAATCCACTAAACCGACTTTCTTTTAGATGTTTCTGTAGTTTCATGGGCACCTAGCTCACACATTGCAAGATTCAATAGTTCAGTCACACCAAGAGGAATTGCACTGGTCACCAGGCCCACCCCCCCAACCTTTCCTAAATCGGTTTTCATGGCACCATTCTATTTCACTGTAATCAGCAAATGAAGATTTGATTCCCCGACTACTTTTTTTTGGGTGTGTGTGTGTGTCAATATCCAATTTCCTTTAACAGCGAGAACCTCTGTGGGTTTTCACAGGGGAGTAACCTATCTGGCACGCCCCGCTCTGCCAGATAAATGTTGATAGCTTGAAATTCTCCCAGGTCCTGTTTAAACTGGTGCCAAGTCGTTTCATTGGTGCTTTTTTAGCAGTATTATTTGAAGGCCTGCACTTAGTTCTCAGTATATCACCAGCCACTGTGAGCGGCTGCCCTGGTCACCCTTCCTCCTTCTGACTGCAACTGTCCTCTGCTCTGCTGTCCAGCCCTTGTGGTATGCTGGTGACAGCACTGAGCTCTTGTTTTTACTGTCACCTCTTTAAAAAAACAAACAAAAATCATTTGACTTTGTTGTTGAGAACATGTATTGTGGAGCACGTACCAAGGCAACAATTTCTTTCTTTTAGGAAAAAAAAAAAAATCTTACTGTTTTCAGGTGAAAAGTTTACAAAGCAAATGAAATTTTCCTTTAACCAATCTCATACTGGTCACCTTTTGTACGATCCCAACACTGTCATCTTTTCCATGCTATGGGTTCTGTCTCTAGCGATCTCTCTTCCCTTCTCATCCTGGGGGCTGACGTCGGCCGTTTGCTCTTCCATTCATTGTTTGAGGAGCACGTTGCTCAACACACAGTATGGCTTATTGTGTAAGTCAATCTGCTATTTGGCCTACGGGTGACCCACAGAAATGGCTTCGACTCTATATTTATGGGTTATCTTGGGGGCTCTTCGAGGCTATTTCTGATCTAGGAAGTATGATCTTTTTAAGGAATGTGAGCTTTGTTCTACATCTTTCTCCCATTCTATCTAGCCCCTGGTCAGAAAGGTCATATCTGTAGCTGGGCACCATCTGGCTCTGGTCTCTGGAGTGAAGAGGTTGTAGTTTCTGCAGGTTATTGGACACCTCGATTGGCTTCTATTTTGATCCTTTGATTTCCAGGATCTCCCTTGCTCTGTACAAGTATAGGTCTATCGTTGTGTTTTAGATAGGTGCTAAAAGCTTTGAAGACTCACCAAACTTGATGGGTGTAACATCTCTCTAAATCATGCTTTTTCAATTGACTGCTGCTCCCCCAAGACAATGGTCCCCAGGTCCTTCGGCCTGTAAACCAACCCCATAAGTTGCCTGGACGTGTCTAGGTAGGTGATGTAACTGTATCCCTATGTGGGTTGTCATATAGAGGTCTATAGGTACACCTATTCATGCACGGGCAATTACTCACGCATGTCTTTCTATACTTGTATAAATAGTCACATCTACCTGTGGTACTCACTGCAGGCACATTTACTGGTTCTATTTGCTCTGGTTTCTCCTGTCTACTGAGACCTGTCCCTCACTCCTTCCTCCTTGGTAACCACCAAAGGATTTGTTCTGTGTGTATATCTACTCTTGATTTTCAAGCCTTCGGGAGGACAAGACGGAGCCCAGACCAAGGATGGGGGGCCCGGAAGGGTACTGGCCCAAGTATAGGGCAGTGTGGTACAGAAATCTCTCACACACAAAGTACTTGAGTATGGGCAACTGGGTGACTTTTACGGATCGCTGAAGCCACAAGACCACAGGTGGAAGTCACCACTGACTTCCAGGAGGAGGAAAGGACAGAGGGTCTTCGTTTGTTTCCAGAAGGAGAAGTGATGACGAGGCTGATTTCCCGTCTTGTTGGTTTTTTTGGCCTGTTTCAGGGATGATTTTAAAGGAAGCCCCGGCTACTGGGATTGGCTGGATCTCTCTGCTCCGGAGTCTTTGTACTGAGGACAGTTAAAGTTCCCAGGCCTCCCTTGTTGCTGCCGTGCTTACAAACACGGGTCTTACAGTGGGGCTCCAGGGGCATACGTCAGCCAGAGGACCTTTCCTGCCCAGGCCCTGCTGCCCATGGTGCATTCTTAGGTGCTGGGGTCAGCACCGGCTTCCTGACCAATGTGCTGGGAACAGTTTCACATTTGTCACCATCTCAAAGATTCTCTTTCTAGGTCGGACTGGCATTAGTCTCTCCCCCAACCCCCTCAGCACAGCCTCTTTACTAAAGTGCAGTCCCTGGCAGGGAGGAGTACCAGTAAGAAAGGGGCCTGTGTGAAATTGTCCACCGAAGCCCAGCGCTTAGCTTGCTTATTTGGTAATCTGCCCCTGCTTAGCCTCCACCTTCCTTGGGGCCTCATCACCAAC